AGAAGTAAAAATTTTTAGCTAAGACTTTCTCTTTGGTAATGTATATGACAAGTCGAATCATCTAACTGACATAACCCAATCAGTAATTTTGATATTTGCCTCTAAAACGCCCAAGCAATGTAACAGATTTTGAACTTGAGAGGGGGGGGGGGTAGAGGCCTTGATGACGTCACTATAGGCCCTTCATCTCCCTAAGCTAATCCCTAGGTCTTATTACGAAACACATGAGGGTATGCGCGTCCAAAAGGGGTTTTAGACCAATTTCGTTAATAAATATTAAATCTAAGCTTTCATCCATAGCATTAAGCATCGATAGTTTCACGCTGATGCATAATAATTATGTGATAGAGTACATTAACGTGAATACATCGACGCTCATATTATACTGATGAAGGATTAAATTGATAAAACATTTAATAAGCGTATTGTTGGGCAGATAGTCCTAGACCCCCTTAAGACGCACGTACCTTAATATACAGCATTCTCTCTCTCTCGTTTGCACACTGTGTATTTTTCCCTTACAATTGCTTATTCCCACTCTCTTCACCTTTCCTGGTGTCTTTTTCCTCTCTTATCGATTTGTCCTTCGTTTATTTCATCCTTTCACTCTCCCTTTCATTTGTATCTGGCCGCTCGGAGTCCACTGCTGGATCGTTTGAAATTTCGGGCACAAACCGATGGGATTTCACTCTGCCTCTTCCTCTCCTTGTACACAATCGTCTATAAAAAAGAGAAAAAAAGAGAGAAAAAGTCACACGAAAGAAATCAGCTAGAATCGAGGACATAGAGGATTTAGTGCCTGCTATGACGTCATGAAAGCTTCCCGCGTTTTTTTTTTCGGGAATTCAAATTAGGTTTTGTGGGCGGGGGCACGGTGTTTCCGTTTAAATTCTCAGATAAGATTGATTTGCTGATAAGAATTATTGAATGATACAAACTAATAGGTTTTGGTCAATGGGACTGACTATCACCTTTAAATATATTTCAACAGTAAAAGATATAATAAATTATTTTAGTACTTTGCAAGGGTTCTGTATACCGCAAGAAGAATATTCAATAAAAAAATTATGTATATATATATATTTTATATACATATATATATGTGTGTGTGTGTGTGTGTGTGTAAATATATATATATATATATAATATATGTATATATATATATATATATATATATATATATATATATATATATATATATATATACATATATATATTTATATATTTATATATATATATATATTTATATATATATATATATATATATATATATATATATATATATATATATATATATATATATATATATATATATATACATACATACATACACACATGTTCACACACATATATCTATGTGTGTGTGTGTGTATGTAAGTGTACATACATATATATACAGTACACACACACATGTGTCTTTATATATATATACATATATAAACATATACATATATATATATATATAAACATATACATATATATACATTTATATATATATATATATATATATAAACATATACATATATATATATATATATATATATATATATATATATATATATATATATATATATATATATATATAAACATATACATATATATATATATATATATATATATATATATATATATATATATATACATATATATATATATATATATATATATATATATATATATATATATATATATATATATATACATAAACATATACATATATATATACATATATACACTCACATATATACAAATACACACACACAGACACACAGACACACACACACACACACACACACACACACACACACACACACACACACACACACACACACACACACACACACACACACACACACACACACACACACACACACACACACACACATCTCTCTCTCCCTCTCTTTACATGTATATATATATATATATATATATATATATATATATATATATATATATATATATATATGCACAAACATCTATAAATAGACACATGCACACATACAAATTTACTCGTATATATTTCCACATAAATCCAATAGTAGTCTTTTTAGCGATTTTATCTGTAATTTGTTTTGGTATTATGCTTCAGTCCAAGTTTCCATACGACAGGGTCTCCTTTCTCTGTGTTTCGCTGGGTACTCGTTCCATGTAAACACTTGTGCACCGAAGCGTGTCGTATAACTCCAAGAGAAACGTCTTATGTGGTGCAGTTGTGTGTCGCGATATTTATTTTTCATCAGAAATATGTAATTAGAGATACGGAATGATTATAGAACTCCTCAGTATACTGTAGTTGATCTCTCGTGTACCAATTTGATATATAACAAGGACTGCTTTTTTCAAACCCTAAGCACAATTTAGCAATGTCTGTGTGCCTAGTTGAGAAAAAAATGTATATTTTGTGTACCCACGGGTAGTAATCACAGGCAAGATTAATAAAAATATATACAGCGTAGAAATGATGTTTTATTATCCTCGATCGTTCGTGAAAAAAACACATTTAGTCAGATCTGTGTGTGTATGTATTCTTCTATCAATTCAAACACACACACACACACACACAC